CAAACACATAGGGAATCCATATATATAGTAGTTGGAACATCCATACCAAGAGACACATCTCTTGAATAATCATAATTATTGGAAGTTACTCATACTAAAAGTCATGTTCTCCAAGAGTCATGATCCATATGAAAAGACACATCTTTTCATCTACATTCTCTAGAATATTCCACAATATTCTACACAATTCCAATCATTTCAAGTATTAAGTGGTTTAAGTTTGGCTTAATTTCTCATTCACCAAACAAGGAATTTCCATTTAAATCATTTCAATTGGTCATAACCAATTTCCAATACAAAATTCCAACATGTTCAACACTTGAGCATGTGCTTGAGACTATTCCTGGAGTGAAGAGGATGATCATGGGGCATACGATTCAGAAACATGGGATTAATGGGGTTTGCAGTAACCAAGCCATAAGAATCGACGTTGGAATGTCGAGGGGGTGTACTAATGGATTACCGGAGGTTTTGGAGATCAATGATAAATCAGAGGTCAAGATTTTGACATCAAATCCTCTGTATTGGAAAGGATATGAAGCTTCTTTAAGTGCTAATAAAGTAGATGGACTTCGTTCATTGATCCCTGAACAAAGAGCAAACCAAGTAGAAGTAAGTGCTTAATTGTCAATGTTCTCTCATCAAGATTTGTCAGCTCTGGAAGTTCTTGGGATTATACCTCCAGTCGTTCAATCTGGCTTTTGATTGATCATCACAACAGAGTGCTGATGTAACTGTAATTACAGTTACTTGTCATCCCCATCATCGACCTTTTTTCGATGGTAAAATTGCAATTGCACTTCTAATTGTACTCCAAGTACTTCTAGTTCTACTTGTGTTTATTTGTCCCTAGTTCAATGTTTGGTTTTGTTATCTGTGTGTATCTCGTTAAAATTGCGAGCACGTCAAGTCTTGTAGATTTCAATTGTTCGTTGCTGCACAGTTGGAGCCTGAACAACTTTACTTCTTTTCCGGATGAATATGTAGTTGTGAATGTTGACTAATGCTCTAGTTATTATTGAGTGTAGACTAATGATACAAGCCAGAAAATTCTTAGACTTCAAGTGGTCACATTGCTCTTCCACAATGGAACTGATGAGTAAGACATCGCGAAGTGATCACATTCTAGCACGAAAACTTGCCAAAAATTGTTGTAAAAGATACCTGCATTTTGAGATTTATATTCAAGGTAATTAAGTTATGCATGCAATATTCAAGGTAATTAAACTATTCTTGGTATTAGTCATTGTTTAATGCAAAAGTCAAGATATTTAACATTTTAAAGTCACCCAATACAATACAAATGAATAAATGTCATGGAAAATGATTTTTTTAATTTTTTATTTGGATTTTAATTTATTATTTCAACTACAATTGCATAATGTAATGATTTATATTTGTGAAAATAAAGTACATTAAATAGGGACATATTAGAAAATTAATATATTAACTACACTCTCAAATTGGAAACAAGACTATAATTTGAGACAAATAGAAAACAAAAACAGAACTATCTTTATGTGATGGAGGGAGTATTATACGTACTTTGTTGAACAGGTAAAGACTCAGTGTCAATGGGATGGCCTTTTCGCTATTTGCATGTTGAAGAAATTGATGGCTTGTTGTTCGATTAGGTCCAATCTAGTTCTTTTATGCTTTAAAAATAAATTATAAAATGTGAATTATTGTGTAAATTTATTGTTTTAAGTTTCACACTTTTGTTAAGCGAACGATCGTAACCGTTCAATTAACATTTTTAAGATCCAGAATTAAATAATTTTTTATTAAAATTGAATTGAAAGAAATTTTTAATTCTTCTGTTGTTTAATCAATGGAATTATTTATTAAGAGAGATTTCAATATTTTATAATATTTAAAAATAGATGAAGTGTCACATAAAGGAATTAGGGCATTAGGTTAAGCCGCAATCATATCGTGAGTAAATCGCGTGGGTAATTTAGACAATTCACACATCTAGGGTTTCTCTGTATCCCTTCGCTTCGGCTGCCTATAAATTCGATGCCTGCCCACCTCTTGGTATCATTCATATCTATGTCTTTGGGTATTCTTTATTTAAATAATTTTATCGATATTTTTGTTTCAATTATTTTCCTTGAATGTTTATTGGATTGAATTTGCATTATAATGTGGAAAAAGCCAATTTGCAGAGCAAGGGCGTCGATTTAACAATGATGAATCACTTGCATTGAAGGTTGGCAATATAGTATGCGATTCTCCGTGCCTTTCAAATCATTTTCAATTTTGATTACGGCCTCGAACACATCGCTACATTTTTTCCTCACCACTTTTTGCAATTATTCTTTGAATATGAACAGACCTAAATTGATTTTTGTTTAATTTTTGATTTTATTTCCTAAATTGCAAGTTTTTTTTATTAGGAATTTTTAGCGGATTTCAATTAGGGTCAACTCCAATCGATGAAATTGAATGAAAAAGGCTCGGCTCGTTGTTTGAATTATAGTTTTATTCTAAAATTTCACATGTATCCAACAGTTTTGAATATGTTTTGAAGTTTCGAATTTTTTCAACTATTCTACGTATGAACAGATTGGAGGTTGATTTTTGTTCCATTTTCTTTTGATTTGCTGGATCAAAAGTTATTTAGTCACCTTCGGAATCAAATCTAAAATGAATTGGCCGACAAACAGATCTAAAACCAAAAAATTTAGACACCGATTTAGAATTTGGGGTGGTGTTCATTTGGAGGATTGGTACGGGGGTGGGTATGGGAAAATGGTTCCCGTTGCCCTGTTCAAAATTAATTTTAAATTTAATTTTTTAAAAACAACAATAAAAGATTTATAATTTTTATTATAGAGAATGTGTTATACAAAATAAATTGAAAAAAAATAATTTATTAACTAAAGACCTGAGAAAATAAAATCCAACAATAAAATAAATAAATGGAATAGGTCCCTTGCTTTGCTACACTCTAATCTCTTCACGTCCTGCTTTAATTGGTTATGGGGTGAATATGACGGGACGGGAGAGAGAATGTTATGGATGAGTTCCATTTCCTATGATACCGGGACAATAACCATCTATACACATGAGATGAGATAAAGTTATCTAATAGGTAAGTTTTCTAATGTGTCTCCTGACAATGGAGCTTTCATCAGAAACATCAGTTTTGGTTTGTGAAGATGATGAAATGAGCATGAGAGAGTGGCTTTTGTCAAGGTATCTTCAAGTTGATTGAAAGTGGAAGCATGGAAAACGCGCAAGGCTCCAGATTGCATGCATTCAAGAACAGAGTGAATGTCAATTTTGAAATATGTTTCATTTGAATTGATCAATAGACTGTATACATATGAAATACAATCAAACATTATTATATATGAACAAAGAGGTATCTTAAATGAGTTTGTAAAGCCCAAGGCAAGTAGAAAGTTTAAAGCCATATATGGCCTTGTGAAGATGGCAAACATAATCAGGTTTTGTTTGTATACAAACCCAGGTGGTTGGGTCATATCGACAATATAACTTAAAATACATTAAGGAAGACGTTATTGTCATCTAATTGATGGAGTGGCCAATTAGAGAATATTATGAAGCTAAGAACGAGATGAATAATGATGTGTTTCACGACTTGGTTGAAGGTTGTAGTGTGGTCAATGTCGGGACATTGGTGAAATCCTTCTACAACACGATGGATTTTGCGGCGATCAAGCTACCCTTCGACTCTGCTCTTCATACAATATACCCACTTGTAGCCAACTAGATTAAGAGATGGATCAGAAGGGACCAAAGATAAAGTGCCTTTGTGAATTAAGGCGCTCATTAGTCATGGCGGCAGGCCAATGAGGAATTTGAAGAGCTTTATCAAGGCAGGAGGGTTCGAGGTCAATGGATGGATTGAGAGTAGTAAGGTTAAGCTTCTGGATTAGTTTTCGGATATTGTCCTTGGCTCGGGTAATCATAGTGAGTATTTATGGACGTTTGGGGAGGCGATTGAACCTCTGACAGACAAAAGCATGCTGGGGACGGGAAACAATCAAGATGGTGTAAGACTTTGAGCTAACTAAAATTTGCAGTGACGGAGATGAGCGAGTATCTAATTATCGTCTGCTTTGGTGCTAAGCTTTCCAACTCCTTCGGCAAGCTCCCCATAAAGAGTCTTCTCAAAACTCAATGCTATAATTACAGCCAACTAATAAACTCATGTCAATTCAAACTCTTTCCTCGCCCCCAATGATCACGGCATTATATTCATGCTAAGTTGTAATCTGTGACAATTAGCCTTGAATACCCTAATGTATTTTTAGATTTGATGTGAGTTCACAAATCATCAACTTTTGTTTAATATTTCAATTTTAAGTGGGGGTTGACATAGTTCCATTTTGTTCGGTTCTTTTGGAACGAACCCGAACCAAACCATGAACTAATGGTTTTATCGAAAATGGAACCAAATGGATTTTTTTTATAAGATATGGAACCAAATCGGAAGCGAATCATTCGATTTTGGTTTGGTTTCTTAAATTTTTAAAACTTGCACACCAAACGGTCCATATCCATAAGTTAATAATATATACATACCTAAATAAAAAAAAATAAGCATCAAACATTTAAAAAGTTCAAATTATCAATCATCAAGACACAAAAGTCCAGGTTAACAAATAAAATATTGTCATAATTTGAATACACAAATTAATTTCGATAACCATACACACAAAAATGTCTAATAAGTAATGACAAATATTCGTTAACTTAATTGTAACAATTTTGTCCGGGCATCCTACAATAAATGATAAATTATGCAAAACTTTTAAAGTCTACTTTTACACGCAACCATTAATTGCTTAATACTTTGAGTGTTTATTAGATTTTTCTTTATTAATAATTCATCAAACAATCAAGGTGGAAAAATATTTTAAAAGCTTTTTAAGTGACTAATCAATTCCACTCTTTGATCTTGAAAAAGTCTCATCTACCGACATGATGTAATTTTGTGTAAATTGAAAAGGAGTGAGAAAAATTATTCAAATGAATACAAAATTAGGATGTACACAATTAATGAGTTGCCTCCAATAACTTAGAATCAATTAATGAGCTGTCACTAATGAATACAAAATTAGGTTGTACACAATCAATGGACTGTCTCCGATTAATTGGTAATTACAACAACTAAATCATTGTCTCTGTTCAAATCGTAATAACTAACCTGCTATACAAATTTCTTTTCCGGCTCAGAACAGGAATCGTCCATTTGCATTTTAGAAGACTCTGCTATTTCTGGGTAATGGTTGGACTGGTCTTTAGAGGCTGATTCGGCCTCAATAATTCCAGTCATCATGGAAATCAGTAGTTCATGCTTCCGATTGATTTCTTCCATTATGCTATCCAATCGAGAGACACCCAGGGACTGTAGCTGCTTTGATACCATTTGTCACGGTTGGACTCCAAATTCAGCTCCTCTTTAACCGTAACTTGCCAAAAATCGATCTCAACTGAAGTAAGCCGAGTGTTGACCAATTAAATGAAGAAAAAACAGAATGCGGAAGGGGAAAATAAGAAGAGGAAACAGATAAAGAAACAGCAGAGAAAGCAGAAGCAGAAGAAGATCGGAGGAGAAGAAGAAAGAAGACTAGAGAAAAAATAGCAAGAAAGAGACGGGGAGGAAGATGGGAGAACACAGCTGCAAGCCAACAGTCCAACTCATCAATTCATCGTCCCTCCCAAATTTTCAATACAATTCTATATACAACAAAACAACACCAGCTTTGACATGAAGGACATGGGTTTAGTTGACGTTATACTTGGAATCAAAATTTCAAGAACATCAGATGAGCTTGTTCTAAGTCAGTCACATTATGTGGACAAAATCTTGGAAAAATTCAATAATGATGATACTGGCGTGGCTAGAACACCGATAGATACAAGTCAACATCTATCGAAAAATAGAGGCGATGGTATTTCTCAAGTAGAGTACTCTAGAATA